AATCAAATAATTAATATTACACGATGACCAAAAAAAAGAAAAAAGAAAGGAACGATTGGAATTTTTTCTTTTTTTTAATTATTATTATCAAAAAGAAATATCGAGCAATTTTTTATTCGTTTCGATACGATTCATTTGTTTTGCTGAAACGCTTACTTTTATTAATTTCTATTCCGTTGAATAAATTTCGAAATTCTTCTGCGATAATATCTGTTGGTTGGTCTACCAAATTTACCAAAGAAGACTAAGTAACAAGATAATCGATCGTTTGTTCGTTCACCATAGATGAAATATCGAGAGCGCATAAAATAAAAAAGAAGGTCGGTAAAAATCTATTTGTAAAAAAGGAATTAATTTCCGATTTATCGATCGAATCAAACTGACCCACTCGTTACGAGAATCGACGGTCGGTAAAAAAATATTTCGTCAAATCGATCTGCGACTTATCGGCCAGAAGAAGAAGAAGAAGAAGAAGAAGAAGAAGAAGAAAAATTGCCCCGAACGAAAGACGCGTTAAAATGGGAGAATACACACACGAGAGTTCGAATACCTCTTTTCCATTCTTGCTTATGTCGAGTCCATCGCCGCACATGTGCACGCCCGATATACGCCTGAACGCGTACGGTTGCCTCGAGTCCCAAAATTGAATAGTGTTGTCCCAACCGCCGCTGATCAACTCGTGTGCCGATTTTGGTCTGAAACACGCGCTGAACACTCTGGATTTATGACCGTCCATAACTTCCAACGACTCGCTGCAATAACAATAACAACAACAACAACAACGATAATAATAATAATAATAATATTAACAACAACAAGGATAAATTAAATTAAATATCTCGCCGTTGTATCTATTGAGCCTATTATCTTTCAAACTGTTCGAACGAATAGTTTGTCCGATAATCGGTCGAAATCGATTGAAATGGGAGAGAGAGAAAGTTAGCGAAATTATTATTCGTAATATAATATTAAAAAATAAATGTGAACGAGCGTTGCGAAATATGGTAGAACGATACTGCCTAAATCGTCGTTCCTTTCGTTCTGTGCGCGTGTTACGCCTACGTGCCTTCGTCACGAACTTTACACGAACTTACGTTTTGAAATGCGCGCCACATCCGTTTGATCCGTTGAAACAAGCCATTACTTGGTCTTATATTGTGGAAAGTGGATATATATATATATATATACTATATAATAATATCGTAATCGAGAACTTTAAACGTAAGCTTCGATTATTCCGAGAGGAAAGAAAATACTTTTTCGTTATCTTGGATAATGATAATAATTCACAGAAATAAATATCGATCGAGCAAAGTTATTTCGATTTTTTACATTTGCACGATAAATTATGCGATAATTGCGAATACTTGTCTGTGATATATATAACACGTGTTTTTTATAATGAGGAAGGAAGAAAGTTTTGGATCGTTGTTTTGGATGTTCCTCCCTTCCACAGGAGAAAGGGATCAGAAAGATTTTTGGAAACGAGACGAGAAAAATGTTTGAAAGCGGAGCGATTATTTATTCGGTTTAATCGACTCGATTTGTTCGAGAAATCGATTACGATCGATCTCGTTTAACGAGATCAAGGTAATTTTCGATTCTTTCCAATTCTTTGCGCTTTGTAAATCTCTCGAAACGAACAAACTTTGGCCTCGAACCAATGTATCAAGGAATCGCGCGTACGATAAATATTTCTCATCGTAATTTCAATCGCTTTGCGCAATCGCACAAAGTATTCCCTTTCTTCGTCGACGATCGCCATTTCTTAACCGTAAGCGCGACAAAGATAACAGATATGTTTGTAAACACACGACCGACCTTGCGTGAAACACTCTCTCTTGCATTTTCGTTTCTTCGTCGTACATGATGAGCTTCGCATCGTTGCCCAAGGTTACGAATTTTGGTAGATGAGGGTGATAGGCCAAGCCTAGAACCTGCCTGTTCTCCCGTATCGTGTAAAGGCTTTGATTGGTCGGATAATGCCAACACTTGACGCAACCATTCGCATCTGCAACGATCAACGAACAACAGCATGGATAAATTAAAAGAAAGAAACGAATGAAGAATTCGGAAGAATTTTTTAAAGAAACGAAGCTCCATCCGTGTTCCTTCTCCGTTTATTATCTATATCAGAGAAAATAATAGAAATTGTGGTGTATAGCACTGACAAGTGGCAATGACGGTACGCGAGATTGGATAAGATTTGCGGACAGGCCTGTGTTTAACCGCCGTCACCGGACTTGGCATCTGTATTATCTCGGTATCGCGCAACACGAACTTTTCATTTTCGTTCAACTTTTCGTTCGTCCCGTTGTTGTTGTTGTTGTTGTTGTTGCTGCTGTTGTTCAACTTGTACATTTTCACCGTGCCATCCATCATGCCTGACGCCAAAAAGTCATACACCTCCGTGTAACATATGCAAAGAATATCTTGATTGCATTCTCTGAAAAAAATCATTTTTTTTTTTTTTTTTTTTTTTTCAACAAATCAGAGAAATCAATTTAAATTAGAGAAATTAAGAGAAATTGGAAAAATTTTTCCAATATCTGCTTTTACGGTTAATTATATATTCTTATATAATCTCTTCGTTTCGTTGTAGAAAATTGTACGAAATCTTGTTATTGGTAATTTTTTTTTTTTTCTTTTCTACTTAAAAAACTTAATCATGTACATACAAATGTACATACAAATTAATTGATCTTCGATGCATAACTTTGTATAAATTAAAAACAAATGAATTTTTTATAGCAAGGTGAAATTCGATATTTAATGTTCGATAATTTTCTTTTTTTTTTTTTTTTTCTTAAATCGGAAATAGTTTCGAATAACTTGCTCTATTATTCTTTATCTTTGTTCCATACATTTGCCTAAGGAGAGTTACATTATCATCCATATAAATTTTCGGTTCTTGATCCATCGCTTTTGTCAAGGCTGACTCAACTCCATCGACACTGTTAGTAACGTTATAGTTAAAAATCGTGTGTATGCGTGTATATATATATATATATATATATATACAAATAATGATATAGGAAGTGAAATGGAATAACAATGTGTTTGTAAAAATAACTTTTATACGATAATGTACAAAGTGTCGTCTGTGTGTCAGTTACGAATGTATTATACCGTTGAGATTAAAAAAAAAAACGTACTATTCTAGATAGAATTTCGTTCTCTTCGTCGGAACTTGGGAATTTGTTTTCGATGTTTTGTCCAATGGTAAGATATCATGCTATTTCATCAATTGCATTTATTAATTCTACCACTTAATTTCATTTTACCACTTCATTTACGAGGCTTTGAGGCTATAAACTCCCCAGAAAATTCGTCGAAATGACGATCAATTTTAGAAAACTTCATATACGTTTGATGGGACACGTTTCGTAAGCTTTCGAACCTTTAAATTTCGTTATATCAGTTTCAAAAATAGTTGCGTTAACTTAGAAATTTTATGAATACTTATGCTTTACGACGTTTAAATAAATAAAAAAATAATTAAAACTATTGTTTTAATAATGTAATTCAAAATCGTTCTATATATAATGCCATAAAGAATGCAATGGTATGGTTTAAAATATTAATTAATTTTTTATACTTTTGCGTAACAGATTAAAAATTTTCCAATTATTCTACAATTCTGAGTGCGTGTGCTCCATAGATTTTAAAATGTAAAATGTTTGAAAAAATATTTTGTACGTTAAAAAATATAAAATTTCCAGTACAAAAATATCACACGTAATTATTTCAAATGACAGGTCAAATAAATAACAGTCAGTCATTTGTCTTATTATCGTACGTGTAATTACACGGGTAAAATACAAAATGAACCTATCGTCCAATGTATTTTCACGCCATCTAGTCCAGAATTATAAAAATAACAAGCACTGACTGAGACAAAACGTGATTGATCGGATACCGGAATCGTTTCTCGCGCGCTTAAATTGTATAGCTCGAATGTAGACGAAGAAAAGAGGAAATAAGGGGAGAAAAGGATAGATATGTTTTAAAAGTTGTGGAATCAGCGCCATCTTCAGAGTGCCGCAAATTAAACGGGAAAAGAAACGGGAAAAAATAGTGGGAAAAGGATAGAGATAGAGTAAGAAATGACCGTCAGTGCCATCTCTCGAATACCAAAGACATTTTTTTTTAAAGGATCATTTTAAAAATATCCGAGAGATGGCGCCAGTCCTCAATTCTTATTCCATCTCGTTGCCTTCGAAGAGATCTTTGATCCTGGTATGTAAAGACAGCGCTGGTGTCTTTACATTTAATTGTCATGATGAAACTACGCGACAGTGCTTGTATTAAAAATTATTACACGCAATTTTTAATTATTTATCTTTTATTATAATATCATCGTAATGGCGTAATACGAATTCGTCGGCATAGATGGCGATACATTCAAGATATTTTTAAATATCGATAAAATATATTTTAAATTATTAGATTCTTATTATATAGTTCCATAAAAGTATACAAACGTTATATTTTTCATATATTTTATACTCGATCAACGATTGAATTTAAATATATAAGTCAGAAACAACTTTTTTTTTCTTGTGACGCGAATATATATCGTGTCCGATTATTTTGTGAAATATTTAATCCATCGAATGAATTAATCTCGGGCAAACGCGAGAGACCGGACTGTTAATAAAAGGAGAAAATCGTTAGGAAAGCTAGATCGTTAATAAGAAAACCGTTAGGAACTAAAACTCGTTCAGTGTTGGCACGATAGACGTCGCTAGGAATGTGAAAAAGACGTTGAACGAGCAACAAACAGAGGGATCCGCCAATCAGCGCACAAGTGCGCGCGGGCTCGAGGCTTTCGAGCTCGGTAGCTGTCAGTCGGTAAGGAGTAGAGTTCCCCGTATAAGTTTATGCGTATTAGTTGTGAATGATCGCGTGCAAATTCGCGTCAGTTTGCACGTTTTTCATTCGTTCTCGTCGGTTAAAATATTCGCCACGAATATGTTGAAGATCGATGTTACGTCGCCCGCGTGAACGGTAAACAGTTGCGCGGGTGAGTGTGTTGTGTTCCAAGGGAGTGTCGTTAACCTCGCGTCGAGCTCGAAGAGTCGAGATTCCCTCGCTGGAAATCGCGCGCAGATCCTGAACGAAGCTGTCAATCTCGCGAACATCGGTGCACGACGGTCGTTCGATCAGAATGTCGGCGTCGGCCGCATCGTTCCCGGCGTCGCGACAGTGAGAACAACAGATCCGGCCAGTGAACCAAGTGTCGACGAGGAAACAGCTCCAGGGTGAGCCGTTTTTCACGTTCAGAAATTTAGAGACCACCGAGGAAAATGGCGGACCTCGAGGCGGTGCTGGCCGACGTCAGCTACTTGATGGCTATGGAGAAGAGCAAAAGCACACCGGCCGCTCGTGCAAGCAAGAAAATCATTTTGCCCGATCCCAGGTATATGTCGCGATATTAGTCGATCCGACCAGCTTTTTGCCAATCCATCCACCCCAGTCTCGCCTGTAGCGATGGGAATGACGTACTCGTGAACAATGCTCTAACATTGCAAAATATATTCGTTTGTCGTTTGATATTCACGAACCTAGGTAAGGTAGGTTTAGACTAGATTTAGATATTCGAACGTTTTTATGGAAACGATTCCCTTTCGTAAGTTGATATTTCATCGTAATCGTATCGATCTTTTTATAGGTTACAATACGATACTAGATAGATGCAAGGCGGCTTAAATGGTTGCATCTTGAAGGATATGCAATATGCATAAAACGAATAATTTTTAAAATATTAACACAGAGAACACGGAGAAATATATATATACATACACATATATATTATATATATTTATATATATATATATATAATTATAAATAGAATGTATCTATATTACGTGTAAATTTTAAATATAATTTGATTTTTTAACCACTGGGATAATGTAGTTAAAATATCAATTCGTAATTCGTTCTTCGTTGAATCTTTAATATTTCTATTTATCATTTAATGAAAAAAAATTAATATATATATACATATATATTTGTATGTAACAGATGAGTAACTTTAAAATTAGATTCGTAATCGATTTATAATAGATTATTCACGATTATTAAGGATAATAAGTTGATTGTACATTCGAAAATAATAATCAAATTAATCCCATCGCTACATCTCACCACGTTTCCTGCCCCTCCCTTCTTCTTTCAGCTGTTCCTTGTCTAACCCTAGTCCGGTGTCTCGATTCCTCCTTGTTTCTTCGCGCATACGTACCGATGTTTCGGTTTCTTGGCTACGCTCGTTTCAGCGGCGCGCCATTCCAGAAAAATGTTTACAAACAATGAACGGTATCGGTTACAAGTAACGGAAGTAACAATTAAGGCCAGTCGAACAATTTTATTTTCAAGATGAAAGAAAATTTCATTAGTGAGAAGGTATCGTAGTAACTGTTTATTTCGAATTTTCACTCAAATACTTATTTCTCTCTGTAGAATAAAATTTTTTTTTAATAAAATGAATTTTCATTCATAATAAAAATTGTTCGTTCGTTCATCTGTTACATATGGACGAGATATAATGCTTCGTTTAACATATGAAATGTAAAAGCGTTTTTCTTATACGTATGGAATGGAAGAGAAACGGTTAATAAACAAAAAGAATTAAATAATATAATCTAATTACAAATATGAAAAATATTGGTAGAAGAAAATAAATAAAAATTGCAATTTTATGGAGATTTCATTTATTGTATATATGTGTACATATTATACATAAGAGTTGTGAAAGATGTTTGAATTCTTGAAATCAAGATCTGCATCTGTCAGAATTATGAATCAATTTTAAAGATTATATTCTTCTATGGAATCGCTCGAAAAACAATTCATCAGAATTTCGTTTTGAAAATCTAAATAATATAAATATATATTAAAATAATATATTAAAGAGAAAAAAGAGAAAAAGATCGATCAAATTACGATTGTACATGATTCCGTAAAGAAACTCTTAAATTTTTAATTATTTTTCTTTATTTTTTGATTTAAGATACTTTCACGAACAATTATCATTTTCGTGAATAGCAATTTTTCTTTGACCGTCAGAACGATATTTATAAAATAATATTTATAAAATAGCATTTAATAAAACGTGTAAACAAAATTTTTTGTCGTATTATCTTTAAGGATATATCAATATAAAGGAATATTTTTTTATATCATTTAATTTATTTTAAATAAAATATGAGAAATTATTTTTGAAATGATATAATGATAAATTACTCTTAATTAAATAAAGATCGATTATATAGAATTGATATAAGAGAATGTTTATAGTTTATAAAATTTAATCTCATAACATTTCTAAATATTATATATAATATTAATTCGTAATTACATTATCTTCAATATATCTAAATTTATTTTGCGTATATCGATTATTTTTTTTTTCTTCTCTCTATATCTTCATTATATTTTTATACTACGTTATGTAAATACGTTCATATAAATATTCGACTTAATAATCATTACGAGAATTATACGAGAAAAATGTATTGCCCAATACATTTGATGTCGTATAAATTGAAAAGATAACCATTGTGACAAAGATGGGAGAAAGATTCCATCATTCAAGCATAGAAGAAACAATTGATAAGTAATTTTTAATTTTTTTTTTTTCTTCTTCTTTCTTTTATTTCGAATTTATATTATGCTCGCGTATATGTATATGCTAGATACATGCATAAGAATTCCTTATTTGCGTCATAATGCAACCTATTACGTTTATTTGTTCTAAATATAGCATATTGCATAGTACATGTATGAATTCAAACAGATAAGAAAATTATAGTTCATTTTTATTTTCAATTACTTTTAATTTATCAACTGATTTATATTTCGATGTTTATATCTTATTTCTTGTTGAAATCGAATTATGAATTATACGCATAGAGAATAATGTAGAAATATTGTAAAATTTTTGTTGCAAGTTTTTATAACGGATAATTAGTTAAAAAATTAATTATCGCGTTCGAAATATCTTTGATTTATTTATTTGCAAAAAAAAAAAATGATAAAATTTATTTCTAACCTGCCAGAATTTCGAAATATCGAAATAAAAATGATGGTTATGACGATATTTTTGTGATTAACAATTCTTTTTTTGGAAATTTATTTCATCGGATATCGTATTTTTATCAAAGTTACGAAGAATTGGGAAAATAAAATTTGAATTAATACTTTCTCTCTTGTTTACCAACGTTCTATACCATTGGATGATCGTTTTTTTTCAAGTATTTGTAATTAACGTATATATAATATAACGTAATCGATCATTTTCATTAGCCTATGTGATTATGAGTGATGTAAGAAAAGAATAAGAAAAAATTAAAGAATATATCATGGATTCGTAAACATACGCATATAATGTTATTCGTTTGATTGTCCAATTAGATTATGTAACGTGTTTATATTATAAAATAATTAATGATACACATATGCTCGAAATATTATATAATATATACAAATCGTTAAAATTTTACCCTTTTTTTTTTCTTTTTTTTTTTTTTTTTTTTTTTTTTCATCGTCGATCGAATATTATTCGCTGCTCGCGATATGAACCGTGTATTAGGTGTCATATCTATTCTGTAATTCATTCCTTCAAATTTGTACGAGGAAAAAAAAAAAAAAAAAAAACATCGCATTAAAAGTTTATTCTACATATATTTTGTCTACATTGTGTTGAAATCCAAAATTTTACTATTATTATCAATAGCGAGATACGGAAACAGATTTTTCGTGTTTCGAAAAATTTCATTTTTAAATATATATAAAAAAAAATGAATTCTCGAACAATTGAATAATTTTTTTTTTGTAACACTATTTCTCGCAAAGCAAAATCTAGGTCGATTTCTCGATATTTTTTTCGAGTCGCGACCTGTTCTCACAACAGTCCAATCACGATGATAAGTGCGACCATAAGTGTGACTCTCTTCTGTTCTACTATATTATTTTTAGGAAATGAATCCAGCAATAGTGAAAATGAAATGTATATATACATATATTAAAACCACGCAATACGAAAGAATTAAAATAACGCGAGATATTCGACACGTGTGAAGTGCGAATATAACGAATCATTTGTCGTGGTTAGACTTGAAGTTATCTTTCATTCGCGAAAAGTCGGTATTACAGTTTTTAACATAACATGGTCAAGCGTCCACAGTTGATGTCGTACTTGGAGGATAAATTTCTAAGAAATTTCAAATATGCATCTCCCTTCTTCGTTTAACGCATATAAAAGCGATCCTAAAAGCAATGAAAATTATTAAATTTACCTGTTGCTACGTCTCGAGAAATAACACAACCGTTTCCTTATCTCTTGCAACTGTGCAAAAAGAATTTATAATGGGAATGGAAATAAATAAAGAATAACGGAAATTTCTTCGTCGAGATGTGTTTCGCGACGAATAAATCGGTCTTCTTATCTTATTCCATTATCCACGTATTAGTGTCGTTTCGAAAGCTTCGAGTTTCTGAAATCTATTCGATGTCGAAACGAATGAAAATTAGCGATAAAAGGACGGCCAGTTAGCCAAGTATCTCCTATATCCCTACCTAATTCGATCTTTTCACAGTCGAATATATAACAAATATAGATCTACTAGATGTATCGCGTTGAAACGAAAAACTATTATCGTACGCAACAACTGCTCGTTGATTAGAGAAAGAAAAAAAACGATGATTTCAAATTACGATGTTGTATATTTATTTAACAGATTGAAGGTGTAAACTCCAATATCTATTTAATTTTAAGATAAAATATCGTCGGTGATTTCTATCCCCGTTTACGGAAAGTAACGCGCCTAATCGAAATTATCGGTACAAGCTCGGCCTGTTGATAGCGTAATTTATCGCGGAGCAAGATTTTACGTTATTAGCGGATAAAGTTATAATTTCGAACGGAAAAGAATTTTCTTTCTGTGCGCGACGAGATGTCGAGGAGCCCTTTTATCGCGTCGAGTCACTGGCGCGGTGCAAAATTGCTTAAAGATCTAGTTAAAAAAGTAGCTTTGCCCTTTTAGTCAAACGTTTATCAGACGTTGGACAAGGAGCGATATATACGATAAATATTTAGACATTAAGAAATTAGAAAATATTGTAAAGCATTGACGAGTGGAAAACGAGATCGATAAATCAATCTATTCGTAAGTGAAATATTGCCAAACTACTCTAGGCATCGAAATAAAAGAAATATTTTCAATCTCTAATATCCATATTTTTCTTCCCTTCCTTATTTATTTCTTCCTCGTTGATCGTACGATCGTACAATGCTTGAATTTTTCGAGGAAAAAAAAAAAATGCATATGTAAACGCTCGATAACGATCGATCGAATTAATTCAGATTCGCTTGTACGTGCATAACTTATTCCCATCGCTACTATGATTCATTGAATGCTA